CCCGCCCGCCCGCGGCTGCTGCGGGGAGCCTGTGATCTGCTGCCCCGCTGCCCAATAGCACTGCCTCTGCGGGGCCCTGGGGCTGGGGAGGGGGTCCTAGCAGGGGACATGGGCCTGGGCTGGCAGCTGGCCTGCCCTGCTGGGCCGAGGCAGCCGTGGCTTTTCCTTGCGCCCCGCAGAGCTCCAGGCCGTGTGCCTGGGCTGTTCCCCACGGCCCAGGGCACCCACGTCTCCGTGCCAGCCCCTCCCTGGCACGGGCAGGGACCGTGTCTCTGGGCCAGGCCACTGCCCTGGCAAGCGACTGCGAGGTCAGTGCTCATCTGGGACACTCGTCAGTCATGTCCCTGATTAAGGCAGCAGAGGCTAATTACTGCCATATGCTGGGCATGATCTGAAGGGATTAGGGGGTAATTTTGTTAACCTCCGAATCTCTTCCTTCCTGCACGCTTGGAGCATGGCGATGCTGCAGGGGGATTAGCAACGGGGTGCAGCCAGCCCCCTCTGCAAGTGCTCCCTGAGCTGGTTTGGCCCCAGGGCAGCACTCGGGGTGGGAAGGAGGGAAGGAAGGAGGGGCTGCTGGGGCCTCCTGGGGGAATGGCCCCGGGCTACCATCAGGGCTGGGGTGCTGGAGGGTTTGGGAGGGAGGGAGGCACCTCCTGTTTCAGTGTGCTCTCTCCCCTCAGCGGCTGAAAGATGAGATAGCAGAAGTGACGAACGAGATCGAGAACCTGGGGTCCACGGAGGAGAGGTGAGTCCTCTGCTGTCACAGCAGTCCAGGGCCACCGGTGAGCCCCCTCCCCTGCGGCGAGGCCGGCCCTGAACGCCGGCTCACTCGCACCGTGTGGGAGCCGTGGGCAGCTGAGCAGTGCAGCCCCATCCCGTGAGTGCTGGTGCGGGTGGCTTTCCCAGGCGCTCTGAATTCCTTGGAGTGGTAGCAGAATCCCAGTCTGAACGGCTGCTCCAAAGGTCTGTTTTTCCAAGCCTCAGCCCCTCTGTCTGGCCACAGCGACTGTTGGACTTTGTTATTCTGAGCTGGCGCTGGCGGTGCCAGCCTGGGATTAGGGGGTCCCGGCAGCTGACGGGAGCTGACTCCTAGCATCATTTCCAATCATCCACTGGGGCATGAAGGCTGTCACCCTCACGCCAGCCCCACTGGGGCCCGAAGGCTGCTCTCCCCAGAGCACCGCCATACCCAACTTGCCCTAGCCTCCCCCCATGCAGAGGTGACCTGCTGGGATGCTGTACCCAGCACCCCTTCTGCACGGGGTGACCCCGTGGACGGGGCACGGCAGCTCCTTTTTGCTCTGGGGCCCGGCAGGCCGAGAGCAGCCCCATGCTGCTGGGCCGCGAAGTGGGACAGAGACACGGAGCAGTGTGCCAGCTTCGCCCCGTGCAGGTTCGACACAGGGGGCCTGGCCCGGTCAAAGTTGCTCGGCTCGCGTTTGGTCCAGGCTGACCCCTCCCCGCAGTGCTCTGCCCAAGGGGTGAGGGGGCGGGCAGGAGGCAGCCAGGTCCCTCCTGGGTGCTCAGAGCTGCTTTGTGCCTCGCAGGAAAAATATGCAGAGGAACAAGCAGGTGGCCATGGGCAGGAAGAAGTTCAACATGGATCCCAAGAAGGTACTGCGGGGTGGGCCGGGCGGGGAGCAGGGCAGTTCACCAGCCCGTCTGGGGCCGTGCTGGGCTCTGC